TTTTTTTTCCCCCCTCCAGAGGAGACTTAAAATCGTAGGGGCAGGTAAACATTGTCCTGTAGGAATTATTCATCCAAAGAACATACATAAAGACTTATTCAGTGCTACAGGGTTGTATTGCAAATACCCCATCCAAGTGTGGGTACAAACTAAATAAATTCTTAAATCATAAGTAATTGATTTTAAAATAGAGTTTGAGAAGGCAAAAGTCATGTATGTGTTCGTTGCTTACTTCTACCTACCATTGGCAGAGGTTCTAAACAATTCAGATTTTCATTGTTCTGAAAATGAAGCTTCCTTCAGAAAATTCTGCCAAAGAATAAATTATAGTGCATGAGCCTATCCAACATTCTTGCGAACGGTTAATATCCATTGTTTTAAATTATCTTCAGTGATGTTGAAAACAGCATTTCCCGCGGAAAGGAATGTATGTGCCCGAGGCAGAGGAAGCTCTTCAGCGTGGACGAGCAGGATTTTTAACCCAGTCATTTTTAGCAGTTGGAGCAGAAGCTGTGGGTAACACCCTGATGGGAGAAATGACGATGTGCATGCCTGCATAATTTCTTCTGTGGAATGAAGAGTGAAGCAGAGTCAGAGGAGGGTGGAAGTGTAAGACAATTCCAGAACGGCAAAAGCAGGAAATTTTTCAATTAAAACCTATTACTCCGGTTAGTGTAATACTGCATGTGGGCATGTGAAGGCAACATTTAACTGCTGTGATTTAAGCAAAACCAGGGAGAATTATCTTTGTCATGCTGGCTTCTCTGCTTTAGCAGGACTGGTCTGAACTGCTGGGGGCAGGCAGGGAAGGTCCGAGGCATGGTCCCAGCTGGGGCAGCTGCTGGTGTGGCTGGTGAGCACTGGGCATTGCTTGTGCCAGGCTGGCTTCCTCCAGGATGCTGGAGCACAGCGGGCTGGTCGTTTAGTCAGCATGAGGATCCTGGTGCAGAGAAGTGAAACTTGTAGTACCTCCAGTGCCACTCTTGGTTCCAGTTCTGGACTTAGAGCAATAGTGAGTTGTGCCGCTTTATGTGTCAGGTAACTGAAGTGTACGGTCAAATATGTGCCTTTGTCCACCTGTCTGTCTGTCTGCTATGCATATAAAACAGAAATAATATTTGGTTCACATGTGATTTTTTTTGTAATTGATGCCAGTGGGGCCATAAGATTCACACTCCAGACTAACAACATCTTGAATATGTGTTTGAGAGTCCTGAGTTGCATGTTTAGGGCCCACAATCTGTGCTGCAAAATAAAGTAAGATGTGATCAAAATAAGAAAGAAATATAATGCCCTGTGTTCCATCCTACTACTTGCATTTGCACAAAAGCTGCAGCTTTCTGCCAAAATGGCTTGAATCTAGCAGACTTATGTTCCTTGTGGTACTACAGAGACAGATGAATTATCTCTCTACAGTGAAATCAGGTTTATTACAGTGTAATTTCCTTCTAAAAACAAGTCTCATTTTGAGGACTTTTATCTAAAGTAACTAATGAATGTAATGGCATTAAATAATAAAATACTGTTATGATGCCAAAAATAACTTTGTGGTCTCTTTGATCTTCATTTTGGCTAAAGATATAAAATTCCACTAGAGACTCTTGTAAACAGGCTCCATTAATCCAAACAAATTGTTTTAAAAAACAGCAACTATAATAGATCTTGATTAAGACAGTGAATAACCTTGAGTTTTAATTTTCAATACAGCTTGAGTTAACTCCACATTAATTGGAGTCACGCCTCTAAGTCATGTTGTACTGCTCTGAAATCTGCATGTGGCTACTTCTGTTTGCCTTGGTTTTAATTAATCATTCTCTTATTTCTTGGCAGCAGCCATTATTAGGCAGGGAAATACGGTTCCAGGTGTAGTCTTGAGCCTTTTTGGCTTCTGCCTGCCTTCTGCATACTGTGGCTCTGCAGCACAGGCGGTCCTGGCAGCATGGAGTCTCGCCGCAGACGAAACACAGACACATCTGTAGTATTGCCAACTGGAGTGCTGATGGGAACTTTCTCAAGTAGTCCTTAAGCCTGTCATTGAAAAAAGTCAAATTTCCTTTTTTCTACATCTGCGTCATGTAGTAGCATTCAGTGCATGTGTAATGTAAGTTTCTGTGCTTTTGCACACTGCTTCATTTTTTTACTTTGCCGTAGAGCTTTACATGACTACCTAAGAAGGATCCCTTTTAAAGAGATGCGGACATAGTTATTTGTATTTAAAAAACGAAATACATCTGGTTCAGACAAGACATCATTATTTTATGTGCTTCTAAAGAATGCACTGATTGATAGAATTACCTCGATTAAGTGTGTCAGTGGAGTTAATAAAGAGAAGTGCTCTGAGAACTGCAGCATCTGCATGGCTTGGCCCTTTGTGCACTTTGGGGACCTTGTTTCAGATTGCCTTGTTCTTTCAAAGTTCCCTTTTGGGCAGGCAGGGGAACAATTAACTCTGGTAAAGCAGAAGCCCAGGAGCAGCTGGGCCAGCTAATGACGGGCAGTATAGATTTGTGCTGTGCCATACATGAATTTCTCCCCGGGGTGGTCCCTTGGTATTATTCCAGCATGTCTTACGCCGTTAAGTGGCCTCAGAAAACCTGGTGCCACTCCTCATGGCACACAGTGCGCAAGCGCACTCAGTCTTACACTACTGAAAACATTGCTTTGGGGCAAATCTTGTGTCTTGTGGATGCACCCTGTCTGTTCCAGCTAGTCCAGAGGAACAGGGCAGAAAGGGTCTGTGGTGCTTGATGAGTTCCCCACAGTGTACCTGGCAAAGAAAGTAAAGCATTTGCCAGACATTGTAGGAAGCCTTGGGGTGACTCACAGGTCTTCCTGTAATCTGGTTCTCCAGGTTACAGTTGAAAAATAATTTTTTTCTGGAGTTTGATTATTGTATTTTTGCCTGTTTCCCTTGTTGCTCCTGTTTTGGAATGCTACCTTAATGGTCAAGCATCTGGAGACTAAGGTAGCGATTCAGAATGTGTGACTGGCAGTGGGGACCCAGCGTGAACTTGGTCGTTGGAGTGCTCAACTTGTTATTTATCGTGTACTTGTATCGTGAACTCACCTGAATTCAGTTCTTGCAATGGGAGGCTAGGTGTAAGAAAGTTTCAAGTGCCAACTGTTAATTAGCAGTGAAGAACAGAAGAACAGGAGATGGCTGAAAAGCCAAAGGCAGTGGTGGTTTGGAAGGTACATGTTAACCTCAGGTTGTAAGCTTTCAAGGAAAAGCAAGAAAGCAGCCGTAGGAGGACATAAGAAATTTCCTAGCAATGTCAAAATAAATGCTAAACCCAGCATTTATTGGTATGAATGTTGCAGCTGCATTGTGCAGAACATTCTTGTGGCACCTGAGATGATGTGTGTCATCAGGGCTTGGTGCCAGTGTGGCGGTAAGGCGGGGACAGGAGTGAGATGGCACCTTGCATTTTTGTAGATCTTTCAGGAAGGTTGTTTTATTTTAGTTTAAGCATTTGAAAGGCTCACTCTGTAGGTGTCAAAGCAGTAGAAGCTTCTCTGGAGGTTGATATAGAAAAACTAAATAAAGCATCTGTCTGGATCTCCCTTCAGAGGAGCTCTGTCAGAGGAGTTTTTCCTCTTTGTGTTTGTTAGCTATAGAGAGCCGTGGTGATGGCCACCACAAGCTGCTAGGCTTTTAGACTATTCCCCTAGCAGTGTGTGGGGAAAATTCCAATAAACGCTCCGTGAAAAGTAATGTAAATATTTCATTCCTCTGTCTCTTCGAGAAAGAAGCTTGTCTTGTTCATAATGCTGCAGTACTGAGGGACATAATGCAGATGGTTTGAGTTCTGTCCTTACCCTGACTCTGCTAAATATGACTTTCAGATATTTTTGTCTGTTTTGTTGACAGCTGTATAATAATGATACCTGTCTAATAACTTGCAGTTATTAACATTTGATTTACTTAAGTGTTTGTGCAGTAGGGAAACATTAGATTCCACATCTTATCTAAGGGCTGACTCAATAAATTGTTCTCTTCTGATGGCATTTCAGAGCTTTAAGGAGAGATGCAGTTGTAACTGGTAACTAGAAACAATACACTTTTAAAAAATAACTAACTATTACGGTAATGGTCATTACAGGAAACAAATGAAATTAATTTAGCTACTCTGGCTGGAATTAAAGGGTTTTGTCTGTTTTTTTTAAAATACATTGTTAGTCAAGACAATGGTGTGTTTATGGTATTACAGAAATATAGAAATCTGTGGCACTGTGTGAAGACATTTTTATTTCAGCCCTAATCACAGGCAATCTAAACATTACTGACTGACTGTAAGAAGCACAAGTAATATGGTAAACTGTCAAATATCTGGGTTAACTGTTGGTCAGTCACTTGTTCTTCTGAGCCGCTGCTGCTGCATGTGTACTTCTCATACTTCTCATCTCCTTAAGGAGAGTGCATATTTAGTTTACACGTTTTCTCTAAGCAGTAAAAGAAGTGGTTTTTCTGGCTCTAGTACCGGCACAGTTGCTATCAGTTCTTTAAGAGCTTGGTACTGAGCGCAGACTGATGCCTGAAACTCCCTCACTGGTGCCAAGGGTCTGACTGGGAAGCGTTGGCTGAAAAGAGCCTGTTCAGATTTTTGTGAAGTGTGTACTCTGAGCTTACAGCTGTGTTCATAGCTGAAGGCTGAACCCTTTCTGAGTTACACTGGCATTAAAATACAGAGTCTAACTTTCAATGGGAATTGAAGATGCTTGTATTTAGATTTACTTCCACACTTTTAGCAAATGCAGTGCAAAATCGATCTGTGGCATAAGAAAATTAGTACAAAACTCAACATTGCTAAGTGTTATGAGTCTGGATTTTTTTTTTTTTAATTACGTGCTTCTCTGAAACCTCCCGTTAACTAAATAGGTAACTAGAAGCTGAAAAAGTGTGTTTGATTAGAGTGGTTGCGATGTCATTGTCCTGTGGGTTTTTTCCCTGACTTTTGGTTCTTTTTTTTATTTTATTTTTTTCTCCCTTTCTTTCTTAGTCTTCATGAAGAAATCATTGACTTTTATAAGTATATGTCTCCCAGACCTGAAGAGGAAAGAATGCGGATGGAAGTGGTGAACAGGATAGAAAATGTTATAAAAGAGCTCTGGCCTAACGCAGATGTGAGTATGACTGTTCTATTTGTTAATATATAAAAGGAACATATTGTGCCTGGTAACTTTGTGAAATATTGAATAATGGAAATACTGTTTTATTTTTCCATATTAAAAAGCCCAAAAGGATTTCTGATCAAATGAGAGAGATGATCTTTAATTTCTAGATAATACAGGTCAACTTTTGCTATCACAGGAACAAAGATAAACTACACCTACTGTAGTCAAAGAAAGAGCGAAAGGTGTAGCAACATTTTGTCTCATTAATATTTATTTCCTAAGATTAATGGGAACATACCAGGTATACATGCATGCTTGTAAAGTGTTGTGTTAAAAACCAAAACAATACAAAACTGAAACTCCTAGCTTCACTAGTGAAAGGGCTTCTAGTCCAAAGACCTATGGTCTTGAATAAGTCTATTAAGGTGGGATGCCCACAATGCCACATTACGTAGACTGTGCTAATTTTAATGGGTAGTTAACCTAAACTGGCATATCTTACAAATTTAATGAACCTGCTGTTTGTACAAAAACAAACAAGTCTGTAGATCTGTATATTGAGTTTAAAATCTGGGATGCCTCTTTCCACTGAAAGAGGCTTCTACCTAGTACTTCATTCAGTTGAAACAGGAGTTTCTCCTCTGCAGAGCTGTGTTTGTTTTTTTTTTTTTTTTAATAAAGGTTGGATTAAAGAGAAACCAGAGAATTTGCTTTTACAATTCAAGATGGTTTTTTGGGGAGACAGTTGGATTTTTAGCATAATTGGTTCTACTTTAATTGTATTCCTATATTAATATGGTGTTCATTTCCAGAGTGCAGCTTTTTAGCTGTAGTCGTCTATCTGTAGAGAACAGTAGCTGAAAATAAAGACTTATTAGCCAGAATAGCAGACCAAATTCAGGCAGCAGCATCTTTAGCGTAAGGAATACTTTTTGATCCCAGCACAGTAAAGGATAGTGTTTTGACATGAGTGACTTAAACCCGCTGTTCATTTCAGATCTTAACCTGGTTTTTGGAATGTGTTTTTAGAAATTGGCAGAACAGTATAGAAGATGAATTCTAGATAAGCCATATGTGTATGGTGTGTGGTTTTGTGTGTAGAATATACTTATATTTTCAAGGTGGTCCATGTGGTTATGGGCAACCTCTTAGTGATGTATAGTATGGAAGCAGCACTCTCCACTCAGTGGTAGCCACCTTGGCAGAGTTGCAGGGAAATGGTAGAGTCTGTACTACAAGCGTCCAGTAGTTTTCTCTTTGAGCAAGTCAGTAAAGCTTTCCGATGGAAATGTGAGGCTCTTCAGCGTACCTCACAGGTGTTGCACAGCTCACCTCTGACCCCGTGAAGCACTGTGGCAGACCCTAATCTGGGGCAGGAGTAGCGAGCTGCCGGCCTGGCAGGCCGTAGTGTGAGAAACAGCGCTGTCTGTGGTGCGCCCTGCCAGGGCCGGGTAGTAGGGCTGCCACCACAACAGCCGAGTGCTTCGGCCTGCAGAAAGCACTGCTGTCTCCTCGGCAAGCTTGTGTGCTGCAGACCTAACGGGTGTAATGGGGTGAATGGATTGACTACCAGGGCCTCTTCCTAACAGTTTGAATGAGGTACAAGAGCTTAGTGCTTCCAGAGATTCTCTGTTTGTAGGACAGACGTAATCTGTAAAAGCTAGGTCTTTTGTGTGAAAAATAATCTTTATTTATCTACATATTTCTTTGGGGCCTTGAGAAAATAGCTTTTCTTTAAGCTACCAAAACTGAGTTTTTTAGCCACCATCTGTTTAAGAAGGCAAAGCAAATTACAAGCCCTGCCAGAAGTGGCAGCTGACCACTGGGCTTAGCTGTAACGTGACTGAGAGGAATCACACACCGTGAAGTTGAGAACTGAAGTTCACTTTTCAACTAGTGCCAGTTAAAACTGCTATGACTGTCTTTGCAGTTCTTGAAAGTGTTAGAGAGCAAGAGAGTGTGCCAGTTCCTTTTTCTCAAGTCAGTAACTGCTCTTGAAAGCCTAACTCTGCATTTTGTCTGCTGTTATTATGTCAGGGAAGAATTCTTCTCTTGTATGCCTTTCTGTTCTCTAGAAGCCACAAGGGAACTGAATGGTGACAGCAGCATGCCAGGTTATAACCTGGAAATCACTATAATGTTATTTCTCCAATACTTACTTTACAGATCTGCTTGGGAAGTGAACTGCTGGACTCGACTGTTCAACTTTGACAGTCTTCTGTTGTAATTTTTCAGTTATTTGAGTTAATTACTAACCTTCTGGAAATCTATGTTGGTTTAGCTACTTGTAAGACTTAAGTTTTGAGTACATGCTCTGACACGGTGGAGTGTTATCTAGTCCAATGTCCTCAGCTTTAGCTGTAGTGTAAAGCGATAAGTTAATGTTTAAGCTGTTCATTTTGAGTCATAGATGCAGTGAAACCAGCTAAAATAAACTTTTAAGTTAAACATGCACATTTAGTTTGTAGTTGCTCACTAAACACATAGGTAGGACATAGTTTCTACAGATCAGATACCAAGAAAAGAAAAGTCAGGCGTCATGAATCTAAATGTATAGAGAGTGTGCAGAATGTGTCCATGCACATACTTTTTTTCTTTCCTGTTCCACTTAGGAAAAGGCTGAAAAAGCAGATGGATGGGGGGGTAAAACTAGTTATCCTAAATGGTTACTTTATTTATAGAAGTTAGCAATTGTGTCATTTGCGCTCTTACTCGGAGGAATGTGCTTAGAAGGAAACATTCCTAGTAAGTGAGAACTGTTCTTGGCATCAGCAAGGCTCTGACCATAAGAAAGGCTTTAATTACACTGAAACTGAAAAACCCAAAATATTAAATGAAAACTTTTAAAGACAAATTTTTTTGACCAGTTGAATATGAAAATTTGAATATTGAACAAATAAGTACTTAGACAATAGAAGTTAGGATACGTTTGTAATAATGTTCTCAGCTTCAGTATTATGTGGCCTCATAGATCTGAAAAGAGATAATATTGCGTACTTAATGACCTTCAGTTGTGAAAATACTATGGTTTGGAATGGAAATAGAAAGGTGAACTCTATTATAGATTGGCAGACTTCAGAAAATTCTACTTAATTTACTAATCTACTTTACTTAAAGAAAAGGAAATTTAAATTGGCTGCAGATTGTTGTGTTTTGTCTTGTTTTGTTTTGATGGGGGGATTTCAGTAGCAAGGACTTTCCAAGCTCTTGTGGATTTCCAAGTTCTGTTGTGCACAGTGAGGACATAATTGGACACATACCATAATTAACACTCCTTCAGGAACATTGGGATTTAATATGAACAAGTTTGCAGAAATGTATGATAAATAGTAACAATAACATACAAGAGCAGGAGGAGCCCATTACAGTGTTGTGAAGTCTTAAGTTATCTTACGAATGCAAAGACATCTCTCTGTCCACATAGCATGAAAACATAATTGGCAGTGTTGACACACCACGAAAGTGAACGCCTATGCCTCTCAAGCTGTAGCAGCGTCCTGTATTTCACAGAATCACAAGATCACATAATGTTAAGGGTTGGAAAGCACCTCGAGAGTGTCTAGTCCAACCCGCCTGCCAGAGCAGGACCACCTAGAGCAGGTGACATAAAACCCGCCTTGACACTTCCTAAATGTCTCCAGAGAAGGAGACTCCACAGCCTTTCTGGGCAGCCTGCTCCAGTGCTCTGGAACATGAAAAGCATTTGGAATGCTTTAAATATGTACATGGCTACAGAGCTTCAACAGTTAAAATTCCGATTCTGTGGTAAATCAAGGTCCTTTAAAACTTATGTTCCTATTTTCCCACTCTTCCTCTCCCATCTTACCGGATTTTATGAGAGACGGATTGAAGTGTGGGTGTCCATTGTAATAATTCAGTGTTTCTCATACTCCAAATTATTGTACAACAGCAGATGTTGCCTCATTCCTTTTGATAAAGGTCATATATGTTGTATCAGTAAGTTTATGAATACTTTCAGGGTTGTTTATACAATAAAGTCTCTCTTTGCTGTTCAGCTGAACACTCTGTTTTGTTTGATAATGCAAAAGCACATTTAGGATTTTTCTAAAGCCATCAGTGGTTGCTTTATTGTGCAAAAGCACTTTTCAGTTGTTTTTAGTGGCCAAATAAATCCTGAACCCAGACAGTTTCACAGAGGATGCTTTTATTAATATCCTGGATTTAAAATAGTGAAATAATTATTATTACATTCTTAGCTTTGTGATGCCTTTATGCTTTTGTCAAGATGTAGTACAATATTGATGCTAGTTCTGTGGCACCTCTTGTAGTCTTTTCTAGTTTGAGAAGTTACGAACTTTCAACAGTAATTTTACTGCATGTGCTTTTTGTTGGAGGTGGGAGTGAGGGGGTAAAAAGAGTCAAGTGATAATAAAATAATCAAGAGGGAGCACTCATAGTGCTTCCTAGTCTACTAAAGTATCAAGACACTTGCTTGCAAAACATCATCTCTTCTTGTCTACCAATTTTTCTTACCCCGAAATGGAAAAACGTTATACAAATATAAAATACAAAATACTTGACAAGCAATCAGGCTTATGTATGAGACTCATAAAAATATGCAAGTCTGTAAGGTAGCTACAGAAGACACATCAGAAGACTCTGTGGTTGCAAATTAGTCCAAGTATGTAGATATGTTTACTCTGAAGTCTCACCCGTCCCCACTGTGAGACCCAGCACATGAGTCCAACGGCCCTGCGAGGCTTGGCAAAGTTAATGAGAATGTGGTTTTGGACAGCCTACAATGGAAACCTGATTATTTAAACCTCCAGTGCTAGTAAAACTCCAGCATAATAAACTATATCTGTGAGATGTGAAACTTCCTGAAATTTTCTTTGGTTGTTGTTTAAGCAGGAGTAAATGGATCATAATATTTTTTTTTTTTAAGCATGCAAAGCAGTGGAAATGTATTAAACTTAGAATACATGTTTATAAACTGAAGGGTATACTTCGAGATATGAAAGCAAAAATAAATTGAACTCATACTGGGCTTTTTTTTGTGTTCTGTCATTCTTAAGTGTCTTAAAGTCTTTTGGGTTATGGGGTTTTCCCAAATTTGGTCATGGTGAACGGTCTTACATTACAAAGAAGGTTTTGTAATAGAAAAGTCAAAGTTATTAATGTTTTGTGGGTAACAACAATGAAGATTAGCCTATTTATACTACACTGAAGATGTGAATGCCTTAACACAAAGGAGTAGTTCTGTTCAGAATGTGCCTGTTAGCAATACCAAAGTCTGCCAATGGAGGGTAGCAATAACCAGCCTTTACAAGCAACTTAATAGAACTTGTTGCTCTTCTGAAACCGAAAATTTGTGTTTTATGTATCCTGTTCTTGTGTTCCAGGTGCAGATATTTGGGAGTTTTAAAACTGGTTTATATTTACCTACAAGGTTAGTAATTTTTCAGTGTATATTCCATATGAGAGAAAAGATAGTCTGTTGAACCTGTACCACTGTAGTGATTCCTCTCAACTCCCAACACCCGTGCTACTTGTGTGTATTCTTGTTATAGTAAGAAAGTATTAAACTATTAGTACTCTGCAAAGGGTACAGAAATATCATATTAAGACTACTAACTGTAATACGTGTGTCTGTGTAGATTTTTGCACATATTGATTAAAGTTCTGAATTACCATGATGTCAAAAAAGGCTTATTTTGTGATTTGGCTTCATTAAATGTCTGAACCAACATAAGAGGTTGGGTAAATTTTGTCTCCACTGACAAGAAAAATTATTACATAGAGAACTGTGTAGTTTTTTTTCCTTTCGGTCTTTTATGAAATCTCTACAATAGTCAGCATCTACATTTTCCAAATTTTTTACTGGTTTTCATGAAGAAAAGTCATTATACATTTAAATAGCATTAGCGCATTTAAAGACATAAACATTTAAATAGCATAAGTCTGAGTTTAACACTTGAATTGAGTTCTGTACTTTGGGAACATGAGGAATTAATGGCTGGGACTGGCTGCAGGTGATGGATGCCCAAGTTGTCGTTTCATCTCGTTTTGAAAAAGAATCTATCTGGCAGATGCTGTAGTATCTGCTTTAGTTTAAGGAGTTGTAGACAAGCTGAATTGCTCCGTTTCTGTGTGGAAAGTCAAAAGCAAGGTGTACAAATAAGTAGTGTTTTCATGTATTGGTAATCAATACGCTGTTGCCTTCTATCAGAGCTTCCCTTTGCCCCAGGTTTTCCCTACCTGCCAGTAACTGTATAGCTAGTTTAGATTTCAGGTTCTGGGATTCAGAAAGACCTGTATAGTGTGTTTTTAATTCTATTACTCCATCTTAGAATTTGCCTAATTCTTATTTCTCAGAGTGACAACAGAGCTGCTTTTTCTCTCTTGGTGTGCAACAGAAAAATGTCTTCTATTGTTAACTGTCAGCAGCAGTAGTGTGTTTAACACTAATTTAGTTTCACAGAGAAGTGTCCAGCAGCATTTCCTGCTCTCCAAGCAGGTTTTGAACATAGTTTTCTGAAGCTGGCTGAGTGCTGCCTGTCCTTGTCAGCTGAATGGTATGCAGCTGAACTGCTGCTGAACTTGCTGCTGCCGATGCTGCTTGTCGGCAAGAGGTAGCACATCTAGTGCAGATGTGGCTTCTTTGAAATTGTTAAAGCAGTGGTATTTGTCAGTAAGCAGACCTGCTGAATCTACTGGGGTTGTGTGTGTGCACAAGTATTCCTAAATTCCCACCTAAAAATTTTGTTTTGGTGTTCTCTCTTACGATATTTTCCATATCAGTGAAGTAGTCTGCTAGTGTAGCTGTAGGGGTATATGCTCACCTCCTTTGTGTTCCCAACCAAACAGGAGAAATCAAAGGAGGAGCTGGGGAGCAAAGAGGAAAAACCTCAGGATCTCATGGTAGCCTTCACTGGTTTCATTTTGGACACCAGTCACCTTCTGAATTTGAATTTAGGCATTGAATTAGAGTGTCAGCTCCCTGTGTTATCAAATGAATGTGTTTATGCATAGGGAGGAAATGTAGTGGGGTGGAGACACCTCTTCAAAGAGCTGAGTTAATGAGTGGACTTACGTAGATGTTTGATTTTATTTAGCAGCTTGTTGCTTTGTGAAGTCAAAGTTGCCAGATTTTCCTTTCTCCATCTCTGCTCCCTATTTTTAACACTACAGGACAGCTGTTTACCATGTGCCCACTATGAGATGCAAAGGGGCAGAAAATAACCTCAGGATGTTTTGGGGTACTTTTAACAGATGGAAGTGGAGTTGGTTTGTGCCATGCCCCTTAATATGTTGAATTGAATTGCTGTGGATCAGACAAACAGCAGACCTAGTGCAAAGGAGGAGACAGGGCCATCGTTTTGGTAGTAGAGGATGAGGACCAGGACCTTTCCCTTTCAGTGACAGGCTGTTAAATTTGCATTACTGATTAATACTACCCAAAGGTGGTGATTCACAAGTTAATTTTTTGCTCCGAATCACTCGGAGAAGCTGATCCTCCTCTGCTGCCAGTGTGGCCTGAGGAAACTAATCTCGGGCTTTGCAGCCCCGTTGATTTGTGTGTCTCTGTCCCCTCCTCTTAGACGTTCTGTATTTCCCTAAGTGTAATAGTTCATCTCCACCCCTTTCCTCAGAAAAGTAAGAATAAATTATTTGGTGAAGTTACATTCTGTCAGATTTATTCTAGTTACATGTGGATATCAGCTGTTTATCTTTTAAGTATATTGGTCTCTTAATTTAAACAAATGTCTATTTTCTTTCCATTTCAGTGATATTGACTTAGTTGTGTTTGGAAAATGGGAGACGTTACCTCTTTGGACCCTGGAAGAAGCTCTTAGAAAGCACAATGTAGCAGATGAAAACTCAGTAAAAGTTTTAGATAAAGCAACTGTAAGTGTGGGGGAAGAGGGTATTTCCTTGTTCTAAGCTGATTTCTAAGCAATGAAAGATCTTGGTTAAAAGGACGAATTTTCATAACCAGAAACTATTTCATATGTAAACTTGAAGTAAACCAATATAACCTTTTTATTTAGTACGTTTTTTGTTACTGGCAAAATAATTGATAGTGTTCGAACAGAAACATTTCTTCTGTTGGGAAAATCATCTGATTTTCCATACTGCACACCATGCACTTGCTTTTAATTGAGACTATAGTCATCATTGTGAATTCATGGGATTAGATTTGTCAATTTCTGCACTGACTTTGTACATAAGGAAATTTTCTTTTTTCTTATGGCCAATAGGCAACACATTTTCATGTAGAATTAGTGAGTACAGCCTTGTATAAATATGCAAGGGTATGTTATATACAGGGTAGAATTAGTTCCATATAACTTCCTGTTTTTTGCTAGTTGTAAGAATATACAGAGTGCTGGGGTTTAAACAGGTATCTAATTGATGGCTGTTGTTAGGTGGAGATATGTCGCAGTACACTCAATGTCTTGTGCTTCTTGTTCGAAGATAATTTTGATGAGGAGTCAATGGCCTGCAATGACAGTAGGGAGTCTTTTCTGAAGAGTATCTATCCTCTGTTGCCATTTACCTTTATTTCTTAGGCGTTTGTCTCCCTCTGGTGTTTGCTTTTCCCACTAGAACTATGTCTGCACCAGGAACTGGCTAAAAACAGTTTCAAATCACTTTGAAGATGAAGTGTTAAATTCTGTTAAAACAGGCTAGTAAATTGAAAATAGCATTTATGAGTTAGAAAAGCAAAGTTCATGTAAACAGATTGGCAAGGAGAGTGACTTCATAAGTAAACATGAGTCCTGTTTTCTCCATCTACCTCCTCTCTACAGCTTTATAAAATGCTTTAGTTTTACCTGTATGCATAAGTACGAATGAAACCAAATGTCTTGGAAATCTGTATTGACTTAATTTGTCTTTCTTTTGCAGGTACCTATTATTAAACTGACAGATTCCTTCACTGAAGTAAAAGTTGATATAAGCTTTAATGTACAGAATGGGGTTAAAGCAGCCCAGCTCATCAAAGATTTTATCAAGGTTAGGCAACACTAATAGAACTACAGAGCTGAGTATTTGATGACTTAATTTGATCTTCTCTTTTCCTTTGACTGCATCCTTACTAGAGCTATGCTTTCACTTTCATGTTACGTTCTTGTTGTCTGATACATGTGTGACATTCTTAGGTTTTATATATATTACCCTAAAAGGCATAAGGATAGTAAAATTTACATAGTAAGTATGGAGAAGCTATAACACTACGATGACTAAGGAAAATGCATTAATACCTCTCGCAAATGTTTTGCTTTTCTAACTGTGGTTCCTTGAACTTAAAATTAGTAATAACCACACATTCCTGAGAAAGTAGGAATAGTCTTGTTCTAGATCAAACATTGCTTCAACTTACAAATGCCAATTAAGTAGAATAAATTAAATTTAGTAACTTATGGTTTGGGGAATCACTAATACCTTTATCATAGATACATTACAGTTATTTTTTATTTTAATACATAGGATAATCTTCTTAAGTTTAATGTACTTTTGTATTTAAAGTCTTGAAGTATAATTACACTATTTTCCTTCCCTTTCCCTATCCAGTGCATTGGACAGTCATAGTAAATGTCTCTCACAAAGCAGCAGAAAATTTTTCTTGGCTTTTCGTGTTCTGCATAGGGAGAGGAAGTGCAGTTCAGTCACATTTAAGTGTTTAGATATTGCTGTTCTGCTACTAACTGCTTTGTTTTTTTAACCAAACTAATGGACAGCAGGAGATTCAAAGTATTTTAATAGCTAGATGAGTAAAACTCCCTCAGAAAACTCCATAAATCTGAGTAAAGCAAGTACTTTCAGTCATAGGGGTTAGAAATCATGTACGTATGCTTTACTAATATCGAGTTGCAGAATTCATCTAAATTTTGCAGGGTTTTCAGTTGCTGTTGAGTTGAACGTACAGCCTTCAACTTGTTAATCTTCAGTTCCTTCATGGTTGTTTCGTAGCAAGTATGAAAGCAGCTCAGTTTGCTTCTGCAGTATCTGTTTCTTTAACCTATAGAAAGACACAGGAGAAAGACCTCTGTTCTTAGTTTCAGTAGGATAATCTGAGTTCTTGTCTGCGTAGTCTCATCTGTGTGCTTACATAAACCTTCTGCTTAAGCCTTGTGTAGGTGAGGCCTCTGGCACCCGTGCTCAGAGTAAAAGGGTGGGGTAGGTCCAGAGACCTTTCTTCTCTCAACTTCTTGCTGGTGAAGAGAAGCTGATTCTGTTGGCCAGCCGTTTGCTGCTAAATCATGACTGATAGTTTTGTACCATATTGCTGGGGAGAGAAGGTGCCCAAATTCTCTGTGATAAGACACCTACCTGGAATTTGGTAGCTAACTTCAGCTTTTACATCCTGTGTGTTGTCGCATTGCCTCGCGGTGGATAGGCAGTCTGCGTTTGGTTTTCTGCCACAACACAGCGACTGTGTTTCTGTTACGCTCTGCATGTAAACTTATTTTTAGATAGTCCCTAAAGCCCTGCATGCATGCTGCAAATTGGCTATGTGCTTCTTAATTTGAAGATAGGAGGTAGCCTGAAGGCATTTCTGCGTGCTTCAAAATTAAGCCCAAGAATTGTTAGCATGTTGGTGTTGCCCAGGTTATTTGTAACCCTTTGGAGGCAGCTCTAGCCTTGGGTCAGGGCACGGCAGGAGCGGGCTGTGCCCCCAGGGAGAGAGCAGGAGCGTAGCTGTGTGTAGCCGCCAGGCAGGAGGGTGGTGCCCCGAGCCAAAGAGCAGAGCGGGTCTGCCGGCGGTCGGCGAGCTGGGTCCGGCCGGCGGCT